TTCTGACTGTTGCTACTTGGTCCTTGTACAGATTCCTCAGGAGAGAGACAAAGTGGCTTGGGATGCCCATCCCACCAAGAACTTGCCACAATTTATTATGATCCACACAGTCAAAGGCTTTAGAATAGTCAATGAAGCAGAAGTAGATGTTTTTCTGAAACTCCCTGCCTTTCTCCATTATCCAGCGGATATTGGCAATCTGGTCTCTCGTTCCTCTACCTTTTCTAAACCCAGCTTGAACATCTGGCAACTCTTGCTCCATGCAAAAAAAAAAAACGAAACATATCAATAAAATATAAATTCATAGTGTCTCCTTGTTAAAAACGTTGTCCGGTCTCATTGTCGTCGTTCCATTTTCCTATGTCACTTACTCTGCATTTGGAAACGCTTGTTCAAAAAGCCACGTCTTGACTTTTTTCTGGAATGTTAAAAGGGAGGTGGTCGAACTAATACCTATAGGGAGGGCGTTCCACAGCTGAGGGGCCACCGCCGAGAAGGCTCTGTCTCTTGTCTCTGCCAAACGTACTTGTGACGAAGGCGGTAACGAGAGCAGGGCCTCCCCAGATGATCTTAAGGTCCTAGGTGGTTCATAAGTGGAGACATGTAAGTTCGGACATGGCATTTGTTCTGATGGCTTGCTCCGGGGCTGCAAGATTCAGGCCTTCTTCTGCCTCCTTCTTCAGTGTTCCATTCGTGAGCCATCACCAGGTCTTCTCCTTGTCAACTTTTCCTTCAATTTTGTTAAAGAACTGCCCATGCAATGCTTTGTTGTGCCAGCTGCAGCTCTGGTTTGTAGTGCAGTTTTCTTGTACTGGTTCTTTGTCTGCTGTGCTTTGAGAAGTTTCCAATTATTGACTTCAATTATTATTATTGTTGTTGTTGTCGTTATTGTTATTATTATTATTATTATTATTATTATTACTAGGCATCCCCTGCTACACGTTGCTGTGGCTCAGTCTGTGTATATGTGTTTTGTGTATGTATATGAGTGTGTATATACTTGTGTATATGTGTGTTTGTGTATATATATGTGGTTTTGTGCATGCATTGTAATGTAATTTTTGTTTTTTGGCTTTTAAGTTTCTTCTGCTGTGTTTTTCAGTGTTTTCATGAGTGATGGTCACTTGTTGGCCTGATAGGTGTCTTGTGTCCAAATTTGGTGTCAATCCACCCAGTGGTTTTTTGAGTTTTTTCTCCAATTTTGTCAAGGAACTGCCGTTGCAATGCGTTGTTGTTGTTGTTGTTGTTGTTATATTAAGGATGAATACATACATGTCCCATGGGTGGTGGGCGCAGGTAGAGATTATATGTACAAAAATATATGCCAAATTGTTTAACTGATTTATTGTACGTTTTGTATTAATTTTAGTCATGTGCAATTTGGACAATAATTTATTTATCTATATAAATAGAAATGTAATGTGTGTTTGTGGGATTAACATAACTCAAAATCTACTGGACGATTTGACACGAAATTTGGACATAATTCACCTCTCAGGCCAACGAGTGACCATCACTCATAAAAACACTGAAAAACACAGCAGAAAAGACTTTAAAAAGCCAACAAACAAAAAAAATACATTACTGTGCATGCGCAAAACCACATATATACACACACAAAATCAGACAGGGCCACAGCAACGCATGACAGGGGATGGATAGTTATGAATAAATAACCTAACAAGAAAGCTAACCAAAGGGATGTTATTGATCGGTTTGTTGCCCTTCTTCTTTGAAGCCATGTCTGCACCACGGTCCATCACTAACCAAAGAGAATGTTTCCTACTCTCCCTCCATTTGTTCTTCAAACAAAGGAGAAAACATGAGTTTCCTTTTGACTTCTAAGAATGGAAACCTCCTGCATTATGTCTCCCTGGGTTTCTTCCTTTCCCCTCGATCTTTTGATCTTCCTCTATCTCTCTTCAGATGCTTGCCTGCCTGCCTGGCTTGAGGCACACAATTTTTGTAAATAAACACTGTTCTGCCTTTTAACTTGGTGGTTCGCTTGACTTCGCTTTAAATCGGTGTTTTGCTTTAAGGTGAGGAGGAAAGTGCTGGATGACAGGAGTCTTCTCTCTTTGAAAAGCAAAGGCTCTCTTAACTGGGTTTCATACTTTTGCTGCTCTTGTTTCACCATAGAGAGAACCATGCTTCAAGTTTTAACTAGTCTAAGAGTCAGATTTCCCATCACAATCTCAAGAGAAGGAGACTCCCAGGCAAATTATATTCCCCTAGATTTGGAAGGGGTCCCCAAAGGCCATCTAGTCCAAACCCCTTCAATCAGGCAGGAGGACACCATCAAAACCCTCCCAACAGATGGTGTAAAGAACTCCTTACCTTAAGCAGCTAGAATGTGGACCTGGTGAAGCCCTGGCGGCCATCTTAGGATAGGGAAACAAGAAGATGTCATCTTAGTTAAGGATTTTCTAGAGTGGGTGTGTCCTAATCCAGGAAACAAAGATTAAACTGCCAGGATTGGTTAGAAAATAAGGGGCGGAGCCTAGCATTCAAAAAGAAAAAATGTAACTTTTGAACTAAGGCTTGAGTTGGCAGTTGGAATTTGTCCATTTGGAGTTTGTCAGTGGGTGATAACGGTTGGTGTTAGATAGGAGAGCTGGGTTAATCTTTTGTGGTATTCAAGAGCTAGAGAAATTAGCTAGGAATGCAGATCGTGAAGCAGGACCTTGGTTGTGGTATGTTCTTTGTCCCTGAGGAAGGCTCAGCCAAAGGCTATTGACTAGGTTCCAGAAAGGGGGAATTTTGTTTGGAATTATTATCAGCGATTAATTTCCTGGGATTATCTCCTGTTTTGTTGACATCAAGATTTGAACCCAGAACCCATCTAAGAATTGTACATCAAACGTAACCAGAACCTTATATACCAGTAACTTACTGAAACCACTACGCATTTGTACCAGAAGAAGTTTAAGCCTGTTAAATAAACGTTTTATTTATTGTCAACACTCTATAACAGCCTCTGTGTGAACATCGTTGTGATTTAAACCCTCTAAATAAAACAAACACTATTGTAACACAAAGGGGTGTTACTAAGTATACTCTTCACATACAACTCAGCCTTAATACCAAACAAAAAGGTGGCAGTGAAAACAATTGAAAAAACAGTTTCAAGATCTCCCAGTTGCCTCTTTCCTGTTTTAAAATTTCCCCTGCACCTGTATATAATTTGGTTGGCAGCTTGTGGGATTCAGTATTGTAAAAAAAAACCTGTTCCTTTCCCTGCTAAGTTCCTTATTATTAATGGCAATCGGCTGGTATAGTTTTCCCCAGGTTCCTTATAGATGGCCATACAGTCTCTGCTTAAAAACCTCCAGAGGTGGTGTCTGTACCAGATTCCCATTTGTTGTGTACTTTTCTTCCGAGGAGAAGGTATGATAGCCATGTATAAATATGTGAGAGGAAGCCACAGGGAGGAGGGAGCAAGCTTGTTTTCTGCTTCCTTGGAGACTAGGACGCGGAACAATGGCTTCAAACTACAAGAGAGGAGATTCCATCTGAACATTAGGAAGAACTTCCTGACTGTGAGAGCCGTTCAGCAGTGGAACTCTCTGCCCCGGAGTGTGGTGGAGGCTCCTTCTTTGGAAGCTTTTAAGCAGAGGCTGGATGGCCATCTGTCAGGGGTGATTTGAATGCAATATTCCTGCTTCTTGGCAGGGGGTTGGACTGGATGGCCCATGAGGTCTCTTCCAACTCTTTGATTCTATGATTCTATGATTCTATGATTCTAAGAACAGGAGGCTGAAGATGTAGGAGTTGGCGACTTGTGGCCAAGTGTTGAGGAGGAAAAGGGCTTGAAATCTCGACCTTTCGATCAGCAAGATTTTCTACAGCTGGCAGTCAAAGCCTGACCCATATGAATATTTATATGAATATGAATAATTCTTATACTGATCTCTTCTCCAAAATGCTAATATATGTTGATTTGGTTTTATTCCCTTCTTTTGGACTATATTAATTAATCTTAGAGCAGCAACAAAAAATCATTATTAATTCTTTCATTTGCTTTTTAAATTTTATATCTCCAAAATTTAGTAGAGGTGCTATATTTGGATTTGGTTGTTTTTTTTTGGGGGGGGGGGGTTGCAAATTGATGAATGTTGTTGTTCATTCGTTCAGTCGTTTCCGACTCTTCGTCACCTCATGGATCTGCCCAGGCCAGAGCTCCCTGTTGGCCGTCACCACCCCCAGCACCTTCAAGGTCAACCCAGACAAAGATGCCATCCATCCATCTTGCCCTTGGCCAGCCCCTCTTCCTTTTTCCTTCCATTTTCCCCAGCATAATTGTCTTCTCTAAGCTTTACTGTCTTTTCAAGATGTGGCCAAAGTACTTCATCTTGGCCTCTCCTCTCCTTCCCTCCAGTGAGCAGTCGGACTTTATTTCTTGAAATATGGACTGGTTGGATCTTCTCGCTGTCCAATGCACTCTCTGAACTTTCCTCCAGCACCACAGTTCAAAAGCATCTCTCTTCCTTCGCTCAGCCTTCCTATGGTCCAGCTCTCACATCCGTAGGTGACTATGGGGAATACCATTGCTTTTACTATGCAGATCTTGGTTGCCAGTGTGATGTCTCTACTCTTCACTAATTTATCAAGATTGGTCCTTGCTCTCCTCTCAAGAAGTAAGCGTTTCCTGATTTCCTGGCCACAGTCTGCATCTGCAGTAATCTTTGCACCTAGAACTACAAAGTCTGTCACAGCCTCCACGTTTTCTCCCTCTATTTCCCCGTTGTCAATCATTCTTGTTTCCATAATCTTGTTTTTTTTAATGTTTAACTGCAACCCATCTTTTGCACTTTCTTCTTTCACCTTGATTAGAAGGCTCCTCAGCTCCTCCTTGCATCAAATTGGTGTCATCTGCATATCTAAGGTTGTTAAGGTTGTTAATGTTTCTTCCAGCATTTTCACCCCAGCCTTGGATACAACTTGCTAATTGGAAACGAACTTTTGCACACCCCTACTGACTACTTTTTCCTCCCATGTAGCTGAGCGCAACGTGCCGTGGCTTGTGGTGGGAATGTGTCACCAACGCCTTTGATGGGATCACAACCTGCGATGAATACGACTCCATCTTGGCTGAGCACCCAGGTAGGTTTCCGCAGCCAAAGTGCAGGCACACAGGGCACATTATGGTCCAGACAGACAGATCTTTTAGGGCAGGGATGTCAAGTTCTTGAATGGGCCATTGAATCTGTGCTGGTACGGCTGTACCAAAAGCTCCAACTTCCTTTTCTTTCCTTGAGTGTTTGCATGGATTCCAGAGTTCCATGCATTTTGCAATGAGGCGGCTTCCCTTGGTTTGCAATGATAGGGCCAATGACCCATCAATCATTGTTAAGTTTTGGTTCCGCCCCTTTTCCCAGGGCTCTGGGAGGAGAGGGAGCCATTTTAGATCAGTCTTGCATTGGAAAGCTTAGCTACAGGACGTGGATTAGAGGAAAGAAAAGAAAAGATTAAGAAAGCCACCAGTTGATTCAAAGCCTTGAAGTATTTGTTTGACTTGCTGAAGATCCGAGAAGTATTTGATTGTTTGTTGAAGACCTAAGCAATAATAAAGAACTTTGTTAAATTTTTTAAGCTCCTAAAGACGTTTGTATAGGAAAATCCTTAGAGCCTGTCAGCTGAGGCACCGCTGGCTTCCCGCTGGGCACAAAGACTCTATTCTCCATCTTCATTGCTATGATACTTCACCTTGTTGACGGGAAGCTTCCCACTGGAGTGGAAGTCATCTATCGGACAGATGGCAAGCTGTTTAACCTCAGCAGACTGAAAGCCAAAACCAAGGTTACAACAACATCTGTTACAGAACTCCAGTATGCTGATGACAATGTCGTCTGTGCGCATTCAGAAGAAGATCTACAAGCCACTCTAAACACCTTTGCAGAAGCATGCGAGAAGCTCGGCCTGTCACTGAACATCGAGAAAACAAAAATGCTGTTCCAGCAGTCACCAGCCATCCCCTCCCCAATGCCAGAGATACAGCTTAATGGTGTAACATTAGAAAATGTTGATCATTTCCGCTACCTTGGCAGCCACCTCTCCACCAAAGTCAACATCGACACCGAAATACAACACCGCCTGAGCTCTGCGAGCGCAGCATTTTTCCGAATGAAGCAGAGAGTGTTTGAGGACTGGGACTCCGTAGGGATACCAAGGTGCTTGTTTATAGAGCTATTGTCCTCCCAACCCTGCTCTATGCCTGCGAAATGTGGACTGTCTACAGACATCACAAGCAACTCCTGGAACGATTCCATCAGTGTTGCTTCTGAAAAATCTCTTGGGAAAACAGGCGGACAAATGTCAGAGTGCTAGAAGAAGCAAAGACCACCAGCACTGAAGCAATGGTCCTCCATCATCAGCTTTGCTGGACCGGCCACGTGTCCCAAAGCAGTTGCTCTACTCTGAACTTAAGAATGGAAAACGGAACGTTGGTGGACAGGAAAAGAGATTTAAAGATGGGCTTAAAGCCAACCTTAAAAACTGTGGCATAGCTGACCTCCAGCTGGAGTGCTCACAAGCCAGGGCTTCCCAGTTCTCAGTGTCTATGCCAGAGTTTTTAAGGTTGGCTTTGAGCCCATCTTTAAATCTCTTTTCCTGTCCACCAACATTCCATTTTCCGTTCTTGAGTTCAGAGTAGAGCAACTGCTTTGGGAGACGGTGGTCGGGCATCCGGACAACGTGGTCGGTCCAGCAGCATTGATGGCGGAGAGCCATCGCTTTAATGCTGGTGGTCTTTGCTTTTTCCAGCATGCTGACATTTGTTTGCTTGTCTTCCCAAGAGATTTGCAGGATTTTCCGGAGGCAGCACTGATGGAATCGTTCCAGGAGTTGCATGTAACGTCTGTAGACTGTCCACGTCTTGCAGGCGTATAGCAGGGTTGGGAGGACAATAGCTTTATATAGACAAGCACCTTGGTATCCCTATGGATGTCCCGGTCCTCAAACACTCTCTGCTTCATTCGGAAAAATGCTGCACTCGCAGAGCTCAGGCGGTGTTGTATTTCGGTGTCGATGTTGACTTTGGTGGAGAGGTGGCTGCCAAGGTAGCGGAAATGGTCAACATTTTCTAATGTTACACCATTAAGCTGTATCTCTGGCATTGGGGAGGGGATGGCTGGTGACTGCAGGAACAGCACTTTGGTTTTCTCGATGTTCAGTGACAGGGAGAGGAATACACTCACCTTAGAGTCCTGTGGAGCCTCCTTCTTTGGGTTGACCATCTGTCAGGAGGGCTTTGGCTGTGTCCTCCTGCCTGGCAGAAAGAAGATGGTTTGCTGGGATGGTCTTTGGAGATACCATCCAATTCTCTGAGGCTATGATGCAAAGGCAGCTCCATCCCAGGTATTCTTCAGAGGGCTCCTTTCACTCCCTCTCTCTTCTTCCACAGTGAAACTGGTCCTCACCCGGGCCATGCTGATAATGGCCGATATCTTGGCTGGTTTTGGCTTCACCTTCCTCCTCCTGGGCCTTGACTGTGTGAAATTCCTCGTGGACGAACCAGGAATCAAGGCCCGCATCTGCTTCATTTCTGGATTGGTTCTCTTCACTGGAGGTAATGGGATGTTGGGGAGTGAGCATGCCAGATGATGGGTCAATGTTCGCGTATATGACCCCAAATTGGGAAGGAAAGCTAATGCTCCAGAGGACATGATCAGCATCTAAAATGACCTGCACAGAATGGCCCAAAATTACATTATGTAACATGATTTTTGTTTCTAGGTTATAAATGTCATTTCCTAATTTATTCTGTCATAAAAACAAGGATTTTTTTTTTATTAAAGTGCAAAAACAGTGCAAAGTGCAGAAACTTTATTTCTGTGGAGGGAACTTCCTACAGCGGTGTGCTGGTATGGCTGTACCAGGAGCTCCAACTTTATTTGCTTTGTATTAAATGTTTGTTTGCAGTCCCAGGTTTCAGGGACTCCTTTTGGTGGCTTCTTTTGGTTGCAGTCATAGGGCAAGTCACCTGTCCATCATCATTAAGTTTTGGTCCCGCCCCTTTCTCAGGGCAATTGGGAAGGGAAAGGAGCCATTTTTAGTTAGTCTCAGCAAGGAAAGCTAATGTACAGGACGTGTGCAAGCTTCCCCTGTACAAAAGCTTCAACCCTTAAGACTTTCCGGGGGGAAACAGTCTTAAGAGTCTCCAAAGATTTCCAGGAAAACAGCCCTAAAGACCAAAGAACTCCAGCTGGAGAATATCTAAACCTTTACTGGTAGGTCCACTTGGTGCTTCGAGACGCAGTTCGACCCGGTAGTGGAGCCCACATTAGTCAGGGTTAGATTACAGTCAGCCTGGGAAAAATTAAAAAGGGGATTTTCCATTTAAAGTAAAGAAGAAGTTATTGAAGACAGTTGCCTGTCCTTCGTGGGCAAGTTTAGAAAGTCACCAGTTGCATAAAGCTTGGAAGCATTTGTTTAGCTTTATTGAAGACAAGAGAAGTTTCATCAATTAAGGACTTTGTTATACTTCACAAGCCATCTAAAGATCATTTGTGGTGGAAAACCTCTGAGAATTTCTCTTTGGGCCCCCTGGCTTCCCGCTGGGCAAAGGTTGCATGTCCTGTTTAAAGACAACTATTTACAGGCCCAGCATGCGACAGAACAAGCGGTGTTTCTCAACCTGGGGGTCAGTACCCCTGGGGGTCGTGACAGGGGGTGGGGAGTCAGAAAGGTCATGAAAGACCATAAGAAAACACAGTATTTTCTGTTGGTCATGTGGCAAGTTTGGCCCAATTGTATCACTGGTGGAGTTCAGAATGCTCTTTGATTGTAGGAAAACTATAAATCCCAACAACTACAACTGTCAAATGTCAAGGCCTATTTTCCCCAGCAGTATTCACATTTGGGCATCTTGAGTATTTGTGCCAAGTTTGGTCAGATCCATCATTGTTTGAGTCCACAGTGTTATCTGGATGTAGGTGAACTACAACTCCAAAACTCAAGGTCAATGGCCACCAAAACCTTCTATTATTTTATGTTTGTCATGGATGTCCTGTGTGGGAAGCTTGGCCCAATTCTATCATTGATGGGATTCAAGGAGCTCTTTGATGGTAGGTGAACTATAAATCCCAGCAACTACAAGGTCTATTTCCCCAAGTTCCAGCAGTGTTCACATATGGGTATTTTGAGTATTCCTGCCAAGTTTGGTCCAGAGCCATCATTGTTTGAGTCCACAGTGTTATCTGGATATAGGTGAACTACAACTCTAAAACTCAAGGTCAGTGTGTTGCAGTAATCTATTCAGGATGTAACAAGAGCATGAACCACTGTGGCCAGATCAGACTTCCCAAGGTACGGGCACAGCTGGCGCACAAGTTTTAACTGTGCAAAAGCTCCCCTGGCCACCGCCATGACTTGGGGATCAAGGCTCAGCGATGAATCCAGGATCACTCCCAAGCTAAATGACGTACTGGTAAATTACTGACTTTGCAAATAATATCTTGATACTCAAATTGCTGAAAAACATTAATAAATAAATAGCTTTTTTAAAAAAAGAATGTACATGGTGCAATACTGGAATTAGGCACCAGGGGAAGCAGAGTGCACCTTTCTGTACTTTCCATCAGCACAATAGCGATATAGCGATATTTCCTTATTACAAAGAATTAATTCAATGTATTGTCGAAGGCTTTCATGGCTGGAATCACTCAGTTCTTGTGGGTTTTTTCAGGCTATATGGCCATGTTCTAGAGGCGTTTCTCCTGACGTTTCGCCTGCATCTATGGCAAGCATTCTGAGAGGTACGAGGATGCTTGCCATAGATGCAGGCAAAACGTCAGGAGAGAATGCCTCTAGACCATGGCCATATAGCCCGAAAAAACCTACAACAACCCAGTGATTCCGGCCATGAAAGCCTTCGACAATACAGTGGCCACTGCCTTCCTCTGAGACCTCACCTCTGAGGATGCTTGCCATAGATGCAGGCGAAACGTCAGGAGAAATGCCTCTAGAACATGGCCATATAGCCCGAAAAAACCCACAAGAACTGAATTAATTCAATGCATTATTTTTTTCTCAATTGCATATCTGTACCCTGCTAGGTGATCAAAGTAATGAGTAGAATAACTAGTTCCTTTTCAATACATTTTCTTTTTTTCTTTTTCTTTTTTTAAATATATTTTTATTAGGTATTTTCAAAAGTTACAGGGAAAGTGGGGGAATAATTGCAAGGAAATAGGAGAGTAGGAAAAGATAGTAACAAGCAAGAGGGAAAGAGGGAGAAAAAAAACTAATAATAATAATACTAATAGTAAAAATAAAAATAAAAATAAAAATATAAAAAATTGAGTTCTTCATGACTTCCTGGGTATCGTCGTTTGGGGTGTCTTCCTTTTCCTTTTCCTTTCTTCTTTTTTGTTTATACTCTTTCTCTCCTTCTTTCATTTGAGGTCCAGTCCGTTATTTTAAATTATTGTCTTATAGTTCTTCTTCTTTAAGTATTCTGTTATTTTTTCCCAATTTGTTTCTTTTATCTGTGTTTATTTATGTCTACATAATAAGAATGTGAGTCTGTCCATGTTTCTTATATCAAGTATTTTTTGTGTCCATTCTTCTATATCTGGTATTTTCTCTAATTTCCATAGTTTAGCATAGCAGTATCAATTGCAGTATCTGTACCCTGCTAGGTGATCAAAGTAATGAGTAAAGTAACTAGTTCTTTTTAAATACATTTTCTATAGGTTTATATGGTGTGTTTGCTCTTGGGTTGGTACTTTTTGACAAGGAGTTTGATCAAGCATGGGCAAACTTTGACCCTCCAGATGTTTTGGACTTCAGCGCCACACTTCCTAACAGCCTCACGTCCCTTCCTTTTCCTTTTTCCTTTTCTCTTTCCCTTTCCCACTTAAACAGCTGAAGGGCAAAAGGAAAGGGCCTGAGGCTGTTAGGAATGGTGGGGAGTTCATGCTCCCCATGATCTATTCTGCCTTGGCTACATCAGACCTGGAATCACACTGTGTCCAATTCTGGTCACCACAATTGAAGGGAGATATTAACAAGCAGGAATGTGTCCAGAGGAAGGTGACTAAAATGATCAAGGGTCTGGAGAACAAGCCCTATGAGGAGTGGCTTAAGGAGCTGGGCATGTTTAACCTGAAGAAGAGAAGGCTGAGAGGAGACATGATGAGGGCCATGTATAAATATGTGAGAGGAAGTCATAGGGAGGAGGGAGCGAACTTGTTTTCTGATTCCTTGGAGACTAGGACGCAATGGAACAATGGCTTCAAACTACAAGAGAGGAGATTCCACCTGAACATGAGGAAGAACTTCCTGACTGTGAGAGCTGTTCAGCAGTGGAACTCTCTGCCCCGGAGTGTGGTGGAGGCTCCTTTTTTGGAAGCTTTTAAACAGAGGCTGGATGGCCATCTGTTGGGGGAGGTTTGAATGCATTTTTCCTGCTTCTTGACAGAATGGGGTTGGACTGGATGGCCCATGAGGTCTCTTCCAATTCTAGGATTCCATGATTGTACCTGGAGGGTCCAAGTTTACCCATGCCTGAGTATGACCTACCTTGTGATGCTCAAGATGCCTGAATCTTCCACTATTTCTTGAACACATTGGAAACTGTCCATAAATGGTGTTATCAGCCATACTGTAGCAACATATAGGAGAGATAATACCAAAAGAGATCCTTTTTGGAGAAAGAAAAGTATGGCTTTATTTCCAGCTGGGACTCTGGTGAGGAGTTGTGTCCAAAAGCAAACCAGAGTGAGGATAAAGGCATTGTCTGTGCCTTTTATACCTCTACAAATGCAGGCAAACAAAGAAACATGCTGGTAACAAGAGGGATGTTACAGGTAACAAGAGGGACAAGAGGGATCCTCTCACTTCTGCAGGAGTCTACCAGATACCATGCAGCTGTGGACAAGTCTACATAGGGACCACCAAATGCAGCAGCATTGCCCAAACACACATCAAGGGACATGGAAGGCACTGCAGACTACTCCAACCAGAGAAGTCAGCCATAGCAGAGCACCTGATGAACCAGCCTGGACACAGCAGATTATTATTTGAGGACACAGAAATGCTGGACCACACCAACAACCACCATGTCAGACTACACAGAGAAGCCATTGAAATCCACAAGAAGCATGTGGACAGTTTAAACAGAAAGGAAGAGACTATGAAAATGAACAAAATCTGGCTACCAATATTTAAAAACTCTAAAATTACAACAGCAAAACAGCAGAGAGGAAACAACCAGGCACATCTTAACACCTCTCAACAAAAGATTTCCCCAGGCTCAGCCAGGCCTTCAAATGCTAATGAAGGTGGTCAGTTGAAACATTCATACCTAGCTCCAGCAGAGAAGAGTTCTTTGTCCCACCACAGCCATTCCACAGATATATAAATCCATTGTCCTAATTCCAACAGACCTCACTACCTCTGAGGATGCTTGCCATAGATGCAGGCGAAACGTCAAGAGAAATGCCTCTAGAACATGGCCCTATTAGCCCGAAAAAACCCACAAGAACCTAGTGATTCCAGCCATGAAAGCCTTCGACAATACATGCTGGTAACATACATAGCATCACCACTATGTCACTTTAGCATCATAGAAATATCAAATTCTATCTTCCAACATACAAGAGGCATGTCTCAGTATTTTTTTTCCCCCTAAAGAGCAGTTTATAGCTTACATCCATCAATCAAGGGGCTTACTTTGACCTGTCAGGAGGGAGAGAGATTCCTTACTTAGAAGTTAGAAGGTATAGACTGTGTGTACCAGTCTCTGTGGAATGTATAGATAACAGGCCCCCCTTCTCTTCCCCCATTCAACACAGATCTCCTTCAGCATTCCTTCTCTGTCCTGCTGGCTTTCTTACACAGAAAGAACCTGATTTTTCTATACATTTCATTTCTTGTAAAGTACATACAATTTATGTATTGTGCTGTCATGCGCTGGGCCTGTAATAAATGTCTTTTGAACAGGATGTGCACTTTGTGCCCAGCGGAAAGCCAGGGTGCCTTGATAGAAAGGCCCTAAGGATTTTCCTCTGGAAGAGTCTTTAGAGGCTTGAAAAGTTTAACAAAATCCTTTATTGTTGAACAAATTAAACAAATACTTCTTCAATCTTCAACGACAATCATACAAATGACTGGTGGCTTTCTTAACTTGCCCAAATGGACAGGTAACTGGCTTTCAGAACTATTTCTTTTCTTTTGAAAGGAAAACCCTTTTTTAACCTCTCCCAGGCAATCTACTATCTAGGCTTTGCTGATGTGGGTCCTACTACCGGTTCCAAACTACTTCTTGGGTCCCGAGTAGACCTACCAGTCAAGGCTTTGTAGATTCTCCAGCTGGGGTTCTTTGGGTCTGTAAAACCGTTTCCCCCGAATGCTGTAAGGCTGAGAGGCTGTACGTTCCCAGCCAGAGATTTTGGGACTGTTTTTCCCTGGAAGCCGTTTCCCCCGAAGTTGTAGGAAATGAAGCTTTTCTGCAGGTGGAGCTGGTCCACGTCCTGTAGCTTAATTTCCTTCTGTAAGACTGAATTAAAAATGGCTCCCTCTCCTCCCAGGGCCCTGGAGAAAGGGGCGGAACCAAAACTTAACAATGATTGATGGGTCATTGGCCCTATATTTGCAAACCAAAGGAAGTCACCTTTGCAGAATGCCTGAAACCTTGGAATGCACGCAGACATTTAATAGAGAGAAAATGAAGTTGGAGCTCCTGGTAAAGCTGTACCAGCACATGTATCAATATATTTCCAATATCTCCCTATCAATACAAGTTGCACAGGGTCAATAACGGAGTATCACAATTATGTTGGAGAGGATGCGGATCATAGGGAGAGTTGAACCATATGTGGCTATGCTATCTAAAGATAACAAAGGTTTTGGGAAAGGGGTCTTTATTTGGATAAGTTGGATAGAAGAAGGAAAAGTCCCTTCTATGGCTGCTTATCTCCTTCTTTGAAGACAAAGACTACTGAACAAAGACTGTATATCATTTCTGGTGTAGAAATAGTCGAGGCATAGAAAAAGTTAGTGAATTTACGGAGTTGGTTAAGCAGAATATGAGCTATATGAAGAATTAACATACAAAGTGAGATTAGAGAGAGGAGACATAGAAGAGAATTTGTGGGAGGTGATATGGAAGCCATTTATCAGCTCTAAGGGCCAGAGCAAAAGCAGATCGTGTGAGATTTGGGAATAATGACACAGGGAAGATATTACTGTTATGAATAACATTAGACAATTAAGTAGAGGTCAATTCATTACTAAGAGGGTTGACATAGGGATGGAGTTTGCAAATATCTATGACTTTGGGAGGGAGGGAAAATGAGACAAAAGGAAAGCTATACATTATATTGCTTTCTTGTAATACTGTGATATGTAATAGAAGTTGTATTAGAATAGAATAATAATTAATTTGAACCCCCCCCCCCTCTGTTTCTTGCAGGGGTTCCTGGGCTCATTGGCTCTGTCTGGTACGCCATTGGGGTCTATGTGGAGCGCTCCACCCTGGTTTTGCACAACGTCTTTGTAGGCATCCAGTACAAGTTCGGCTGGTCCTGTTGGCTGGGCCTCAGCGGGTCCCTTGGGTGCTTCTTGTCGGGGGCTTTCCTGACCTGCTACATGTACCTCTTCAGAGGTAAGAGCTGCAGGTAGTTTCCTGAAGCCATAGGGCCACCCAGTCCTTTGTCGCACCTCAGAGTAGATTCACCTTGCTGAAATCACCAAACTGCACATGGACTGAAGTCTTTGTGGTTTATTGAAAAGTAAACTATAAAAAGTTCTTAAAAGCAAGTAATGTTCCAAAGGATCAACAAAATATATCACTGTAAGGCAGGATTCCAAGAGGCACCAACAAAACAAAATCTCATGAGAACATGACAAAGTCCCAAGACCATGGACACAAGAACTACAAGATAATCCAGGCAAACGAGCACAAGCTGCTTGGTTGAGCGAAAAGTTGCTCTGACAAAGGTTTGTTTTCAAACACACTGCTTAATACCCTTTGCAATACATGAAAGCATTTCTTTGGTTTCTGACCTCCTTCTTGTTGGCTATTCTCACACTCCTCCGAACTCTGAATTCCAAACAATCAGCCTGATCTAAGATTCCCGTTTCCTCAAGGTCAGGCTGCTCGTTAGTGTCAGTTTGGTTGCCTTCTTGCTTACTATCAGGCCAAGAACTGTCCTCCTTTTCTGAGTCAATTTGCACCTGGCTAGTTTCAGTATCAAAAGCATCATTCCCTGCTGTGGGAAACTGAACTTGCACACCCTGTTCCTCACTGTCTACAACAGGAACATTTTGAATCTGATTGTGAACCTGAATCCCATCATTCTCGTCAAAGTCACTCTGAGACCCCATCTGTGTCTCAACACTATCAGTCTGTGGTTCCAGCTGAGTCACAACATCCTTTCCCTTTGTGCCAAGTTGTTGTTCAGTCACTTCCAACTCTTCATGACCTACTTTGTGCCAAGTAGGAAGACACAATCCAAACCCTCCTGACAGATGGCCATGCAGCCTCTGCTTCAAAACCTCCACCAGACTCTCAGGCAGCAGCATATTCTTATCTTGAACTGTTCTTCCTAATGTCCAGGTGGAATCTCTTTTCCAGGAGGTTTCATCGGTTGTTCCATCTTGCTCTAGAATTTAGAGAACCAGAAAAGCTGTCTCTTCAGTGTGGCATCCTTTCAAATATTGAACCATGGCTTCTGTGTCCCCTTCACTCAACCTCTTCTCTAAGCGGTACATCCTCCAGTCCTTATTCTGCTCCTCATAGGAATCTATGATTTCCCATTTTGGCCTCCTGCTGAGGTCAGATTTAGGTCTACGGATCGCGGATATGGAGGGTCGTGCCCGGCAAGCATTATGCTAACAGCTAAACATTTCAAATTAGAAAATACACTCACCAGGATGAAAACAGGCAACAGAGACTTTAAGGACGGGCTGGCTAGAAAGGATGCAAGTATGCCTAGCACCAAAAATATAAGCATAAAACACGAATACAGAGAGTATGGATTTTTAAGCAGTTCAGTTTCTATTCAAGCTCCACCTGATTTCCTCCTGGATTGGGCAGCAAAGTGGCCAACCTGGGTGAGCACCAGAAAATCTATGTCCATATTTAGAGGGCTTAGGGGCTTCTGGCTAGCATACTAGTCCAGCTTTGGGTTATAAAGGTGTGGTTATGAAAGTCAAGTGAAGTTCAGCAGTGACAAATGCAAGAGACTCCACTTAGGCAGAAAAAACAAAATGCAAAGATATAGAATGGGGGACGCCTGGCTCGAGAGCAGGACGTGTGAAAAAGATCTTGTGGACAACAAGTTAAATATGAGTCAACAATGTGATGTGGCGGCAAAAAAAAGCCAATGGGGTTTTGGCCTGTATCAATAGGAGCATAGTGTCTAGCTCCAGGGAAGTCATGCTCCCCATGCTCTATTCTGCTTTGGTTAGACCACACCTGGAATATTGTGTCCAATTTTGGGCACCACAATTGAAGAGAGATATTGCAAGCTGGAATGTGTCCAGAGGAGGGCGACTAAAATGATCAAGGGTCTGGAGAACAAGCCCTATGAGGAGCGGCTTAAGGAGCTGGGCATGTTTAGCCTGAAGAAGAGAAGGCTGAGAGGAGATATGATAGCCATGTATAAATATGTGAGAGGAAGCCACAGGGAGGAGGGAGCAAGCTTGTTTTCTGTTGCCCTGGAGACTAGGACACAATGGAGCAATGGCTTCAAACTACAAGAAAGGAGATTCCACCTGAACATGAGGAAGAACTTCCTGACTGTGAGAGCCGTTCAGCAGTGAAACTCTCTGCCCCGGAGTGTGGTGGAGGCTCCTTCTTTGGAAGCTTTTAAACAGAGGCTGGATGGCCATCTGTCAGGGGTGATTTGAATGCAATATTCCTGCTTCTTGGCAGAGGGTTGGACTGGATGGCCCATGAGGTCTCTTCCAGCTCTTTGATTCTATGATTCTATAACACTGTCCCTGTTCTTGTCTCTTGCTTAGATGTGGGCTCCAGTAGGTACCTCTCCTCCAGCACCTTCCGGAAGGCCTACTCCGCTCCCACGATGCCTGGCCTCTACCATCCCTCCTCTCAGACGGCTACGGCCAAAATGTACGCCATGGACACTCGGGTATGAGCCACCCTTGGCTTTCTATGCCACAATTAATAGAGGTGGCATCTCATCACAAAAGAATCTGGCTGGTTTCAAGAAGGACATTTCAACCACTGCTTTGGTTGCAAAGTTTCTGCAGTATCTGATGGGAGAGAAGTGGATTTAATTTTGGAGGCAATTCCTAAAAATGTAGTTGATCCCAAGCAGGTGGGCCATATTTCTCGAGGAGGGAGGCAGCCTCAAGTTGTGTTCATTGTTTTTATAAACTACACACTCCTTTTCTAATGGAATAATTGAGATGTTCGGTGTACAGATTGCCAATTAAGAAATAATCCTGTGGATGCAGGGAATTCCAGAACACACAACAGCATCCCCTTGCGCAGAGGAACAAAAATTTGGAAATGACAGCAGGCGCAAAACAATATTTGCCTTGATCTGGAACAGATGCTGCTTTTGAGCGGTATCTCTGCATGGCGTGTATATTTGTAAATAAACAGATGTTCAGAATGACTGGAGATTTCCCCTGGGTTTTCTTTCAAAGGAAGTCAGTTTCCTAAAGCTGGAATCCGATGGAGCCAGAAACAGAGGTGATCATGTACGCAGATTGTTTAATGCATGTGAAGCACATCATGGATAATGATAAGCTTCCTACCTACGTATTAGGCCTGTGCGGTTTAGTTCGTTAATTCGTTAATTCGTTATTAATTCGTTATTTTTGGCATTTCCGAAGCGATATTGAAACATATTTCCAAACCCGGAAGGGTTTTTAAATATCGAACCAGCAACCCCCATAGTTTTAACGAGCCTCCGCTCGTTTCGTTAATGGGGTGGAGGCTGCTGGAGTGCTGGTGCCTGGGAGCCAATCCGGCGCTCCCAAGCAGTGCACCATGGGTCCGTGGCTGTCTGTTTTTGATTGGCCGGCGAGCCCTTTCAAAGCGGCTCCGCGCGGCCCGTAGCTTGCTGCAGAGGGCGAGGGAGTTTGCATTGGGTTGGCTTGGCAATGGCTGCTAGCAACTGGGATTGGATTCATTCCTTGCTGCTGTGAGTGCTGCTTGCTTCATTTGCTGTCTCTTGCCTGTGTTTGGTCCACATTTGGGCCATTTTTTGGTTAATTTTCCATTTTAAAATATTTTTAATATTATTTTTTAATATTTTTTTTTAATATTATTTTTAATATTATTTTTTAATATTATTTTTTAATATTATTCTTAAAAAATATTCTAAAAAAGAAAAGACTCTTCTGTTGGTGTGTGCTCTCATTTGCTGTCTCCTGCCTGTGTTTGGTCCACATTTGGGCCATTTTTTGGTTAATTTTCCATTTTAAAATATTTTTAATATTATTTTAATATTATTCTTAAAATTCGTTAATAATTTACAAAATTTCTTAAATACCAAAACTTTTTTTTGGAAAGTTTTGTAATTATTTTAAATATCGAAACAAAAAAACACCCCAATTACAAATCGATTTTAGAAACAATTTTTTTCTTGATCAAACAGGCCTACGTATGGCTGCAAGCTAAGGAAAACATGCATGCATTAATAAGAATTAATAATGGAGTGTATTTAACTTAGGATGCATCTACACCAGGGGTCCTCAAACTATTTTAACCGGGGGCCAGTTCACTGTCCCTCAGACCAATAGAGGGACGGACTATAGTTGTTGTTTTTTTTAAAAAAAAAAAAATCAATAAAAAAATCCCTATGCACATTGCATATATCTTATTTTGCTGTGTGGAAGGGCCCTTCGAGGGAGGGGGTTCTTTCTCGCCCTCTTGAGGCAGTAATTCCAGGAGCAGAGAATGGGAAATCTTCCTATTTCTAGTCTGAACAAAATCTGGCTACCAGTATTTAAAAAAACCTCTAAAATTATAACTGTAAATAAAGAACAACACTCAAACACAGGGGAACTCCAGACAAGAAACAATCAGGGCCAGCTAATCACCTCTCAACAAAGGATTCTCCCTAAAAACTGTCAGGCTATGAAATGGTAATCAAGGTGGCCAATTGAAACATTCATACCTACCTCCAACAGACAAGAGTTCTTTCTCCCACCCTGGATCTTCCACAATTTTCCTAGTTAAAGGTTTTCCTCTGACATGAAGTCCAGTCGTGTCTGACTCTGGGGTGTGGTGCTCATCTGCATTTCTAAGTCGAAGAGCTGGCGTTGTCCGTAGACACCTCCAAGGTCATGTGGCCGGCATGACTGCATGGAGTGCCGGGGCAGCCTCCCTTGGCTGGCTCACGCTGCCCAGCCTGACGGATAGTGTGAGCCTGCCAAGGGAAGAGCAGCACCGTGCAGCCTACTTGCGTGTAAAGCACCTCGTGAGGTGCTTTACGCACGAGTAGCCATGCGGAGCCGCCTCCCTTGGCTGGCTCACGCTGTCCATCGGGCCTGATGGATAGCGTGAGCCAGCCAATGGAGGGGCACTGTGGGGGGGGGGGCGCTCCTCCTCCGCGGGCCGGATAAGGGCCCTTGGCGGGCCGGAAGTGGCCCGCGGGCCGTAGTTTGGGGACCCCTGATCTACACTGTACATTTAAATACCGGGACTGTGGCGTACACCGTCCATTAAGATCACTACTGACCAAAAGGTCATGACTTCGAAGCCAGCCCAGGTTGGAGTGAGCTTCTGACCAATTTGTGTAGCTTGCTGTCGACCTTTGCAGCCCGAAAAACAGTTTCATCTGTCAAGTAGGAAATTTTGGTACCACTTATGTGGGGAGGCTAATTTACGACACCATAAAAATCTCTAGCAAGCATGCAAAGAATGAGGAAGTACTCCATCAGTGTCACAAATGGACGGTGAAGCAACAGCTCCCCTAGTGGGCAGAATACCCTCATGAAAAAAAGCTGGAATGGTAAATAGCCTATGTGTGTCTGTCTATATATGTTGTGTGTCTATGGCAGTAGGTCCCGAACCTGTGGGTCCCCAGGTGTTTTGGCCTTCAACTCCCAGAAATCCTAACAGCTGGTAAACTGGCTGGGATTTCTGGGAGTTGTAGGCCAAAACACCTGGGGACCCACAGGTTGAGAACCATTGGTCTATGACATTGAATGTTCGCCATGTGTATCCACATTTTGCATCCATTCAGTTTAATCCTGTTGGGGGTTGTAAATGTAAATAAATGGAAGCTTTACCACAGTTTCTGAAGCAAGATATACCCTGCAGTATAATAAAGTGTCACTCAGGTTTGTGTAACAGGTAACAGTATCTTTACTTCAGTTCAGAAGATCAAACAGGACAACAATATTCACACAGGGAACAGAGTGAATAAACAGTCCTTTTTAAATAGTCTTTAAAATATGCCTCATGCCCAGGGGCGGCTCAACCCATTACGCAAAGTAAGCATTCGCAGTATAGTTGATTTTGCCCAGGGGCACTCTTGAGGGAAAATAGACCTTGACATAGACCTTGTAGTTACTGGGATGTATAGTTCACCTAAAATCAAAGAGCATTCTGAACTCCACCAATGATGGAATTGAACCATCTGCTCATGCCTTAGAAATAAACAGGCCTCAGAGAGTTGGCAGCAATTTCCTTCCTGGCTGTATCCAGTCAGCCCTCTCTTCACTCTCCAAAGTGAAAGTGGCAGTTAAAACCATTTGTCTCAGCAGCAAGCCAGAGACAGCAGCCAATGAGAACTCTGGCTCCTGGCATGCTCAGCCAATCAGCTGCCGACACATGTCTTTCCAATGAACCCACCACATCATGGCATCTCTTTAACAAATCCTCACAAACCCTACTTTAATTGGCATGACTCAGTACTATGTAACCCTGGGATTTGTAGTTTAACAAAGTCTTTAGCCTTCTCTACCAAAGAGTGTTGGTGTTGAAGTCGAACATCCCCCCCCCCACCTTATAAAAGATAGTAACTTATAGTTTTACTAAGGACAAGGACACCAGACTGGATAATAAGGGTTAAGCCTTGGTCAATTTGCCAAGACACTAACAACAACAAGGACCCTTCCCATGTTAGATAGTGTGTGTACATTTAATCAAGGTTTTATGCCCTGTGTTTCATATATAGCAGAAGGTAGCACATTTATTACTGAGAAACCACCTCCCTTTACACTTATGCACTCTCTTGAACTTCTATGGGACTCTGGTGGGAGGGATAAGTGGGTATGTTTTCTATAACTGATATCTATATTTCTGTATTCCTCCCTGTGTATCTGACCTTTTCCTGACCCTTTTGCCCAATTCCCCTTTATTGAAAAATGTATAAAAATACATGGCAGCCACCCCTGCGTGACCCTGGAAAGAAGGAAATCTCCAGTTGAAAAAGACCCTTATCCAAGACACAATTGCATAGATAATAGAAAGGGATCGTGACCTCTGGGCTTGGAGTTGGTCCCCTAGAGGAAGTGGTCATTTGGCAATTATGATCATATCTCAATAGGATGGAGGGGGCCTTTGGAAAGCCGCACCTCGTCCTAATCTGTTACCGATTCAACTTTTCTTTCACTAAAGACTTCAGCCAAAGTTCCCCATTGTTCCCCTATCTCCACACTGGAAAGATCCGGATCTTGGATGTTTATTGCAGCCACTCAATGACAATAGGGATGGCTAGCTCGCAGGCCCCATGACTCGCTGGCCACATGGACATTTCCTACCTCCATAATCCTCTCAAGAATCCATTGTTTCCCTCTCGTCCCGCCTCCCTCTCTCCTGATTCATCAGGACGCCAAGACGGCAGAAGCCCAGGGATTGGCCCAGGCACTCAGGAGGTGGCCAAGCCTCCTCCCAGCTGTAGAGCGCCAGCCAATCATCGTCGAGCCGGCAGAGGGGTGGGGAATGGGAGATTCAAACCTGGCAATCCTTTTTCTGTATAAAAAAACGCCTTTATTTGTGTACATGTTATGCTTAGCTTGGGGAAATATTGCTGCTTTGCATCCTTTTCAGCTGAATCGCAATAAAACCATCTTGGTGTCGCTTCCTTCAACTTTGGTGAGATTTCTTTTGGGAACTTAGGAAAAACCTTTTAAATTGGGCTTCCCTTTGCTCACCATTGTAGCAAGCCCTTTTTGGTGGGTCCGCAGGGTCTCTCCTTCAGGGCCAGACGCTTCTAAATTCCTCCATGATTTCAGTGTCCCCCGAAACTACAAATCCCAAGATTCCCTAGGATTGAACCAAAGTTATTGAAGTGGTGTGAAATGGCATTAATGCTACAGTGTAGCTGCACCTTTTGTCAACTTTGGA